GCTTTTGCAGTTAGCACATTTGTCTGTATAACACCGATTTACTTGACTACCTGCAAGGATTTAGTCCATGTGGGTTGACAGTTTTCTGTTTGCTACAATTGCTTCGTCAATGTTCACAGTTCAGTGAAGAATGGCCAGAAGTATTATCAAAAGCAGTTCTCAGACAGGAAGGTATATTTATCATTTATAAAATAGTATGTATCTCAAGCAACATGTGAATATATATGTGCATGTGCTGAGGCTACATAAGAATCAATATAGCTCCAAATATGTTCAGAGGGAGATCTAGCAGCAAAAAGAAAAGTATTTGTAACATATACAATTCATGTATATATGGTTTAAAATTTTCTTCATTAATCAATAGAAATTGTAGCTTCTTTAGTGACTACTTATTTTGTTTTGCTACTGTAATATTTATTTTTGATACCTCTTTCAAGTTTCCACATGCCTTTTGTTCAATAATGTATGTTGATGATGTAGAACAGATTTGTTCTAATTCTAAGAGCGGTAGTATATAGTGTATTTTTGTAGTATAGTCAACAAAGTCTGTTAATTTTAATCTGATCAAACTGATCTTTAAAGTGTTGTTTTAAAAAAGTGCCAGGCAAAGGACCCTCTTACCTGCCAAAGCAAAAGGCTAAACGCATAATTCAGACCTAAGATCATGGACTTACCCCTAGTTCTGGGACTTACCCAGTGTAATGACCAACTCAGATCATTTATTGCTAAACCAATTCTGTGAGCTACTGCAAGGCTTGTAAGGGGAAAAATATTACATTTACTTCTATTATGGTGTCCTCACATGTGCACAATAGTGCATAAGACCTGCTCCATCAGAGACTTAAAGTGCAATTGAACTCAAAAAGTGCAAATTTACAACTGTATAGGGGCCATCTAGAAATGCTACTTGTGCCTAAGCAGTATCCTTAAAAAAGAAACCTTTTATCTTGTATAACTCATAGAGTATGACTGCTAGTCTCAGAAGATTGGAAGGGAGATTTAGTGATGACACTTCTGTGTTTCTCATTGATCCTTGACATGAGAAAACAAACCCCCACCTTTACCAAGATGATCACCTACATACAGAGACAGAAGAGATTGTATATCAATCACAATAAATGGCATCTGCCAAGAGAAAAAAATCCCGCCGACAGGATCTGCTCCCGTTTTTACTCACAGCGAATGGCAACTCCTGAAGTCCCAATGCAAGAAGTAAACTAAGGGACAATGTCTCCCTTGTGATGTCATCAATCAAATATAGACATGACCATGCAGCCTGCCATGAAACTGTCAGATCATCCTTGGGCTATAACCTACCAGGCTCTTACAGGCAAAACTCATTAATCAATGTGAATGCCAAGACCCTGTATGAAATAGTGGCAGACAGACTCCCTAAACAGCGCTTTGGCTTTTAACATTCTCATAACATTATTAGTCAACATTTTCAATCTGGATTGCTAGACTTCCAGTGTCAGAGGAATAGTAAGCACCCTCGCTGTGTAGCACTACTATGCAGGAAGCAGTGGATACACTTATAATGGACAATCGAGGCTACACTTCAAAAGCAAAGATGGACAACTAACTGAAAAAAATCTGAATTTGCAATAGAAAATAAGAACCCAAAAACAAGAACTCAGATAAAACTGTACTAAACTGCACTATACTGTACTAAACTGTATTAGAACTATAAAGACGTACTCAATAGGTGTAGTTGTGCTTTAACCAGTGGCCCGTTGCCCTAGAGCAGAAATACTGCTACAAGGTGGCAGGGCTGCACAAACTCACATATATATATACGTGATTTGCATTTCTGAGTAGGGGAGTGTGCCATCCTACCCGCACCGCCATTGGGGGCTGCAGATGTCAATCACTGGGTCCCAGTTGGAGATTATCCGCTGGAACCCGATGATCGCTGAGCAACACTGACCCCCCTGTCAACCCCCTGTAAACAACACAGATCTTCCACAGCAGAGAAATACACAGCAGCATGTTTACCAAGTAAAACACACACAGCACATGTTGTAAAACACAGCACAGTACACAGTTAACCCTTTAATCGCCACATATGTTAACCCCTTCCTACCTAGTGTCATTAGTACAGTGTCAGTGCTTTTTATTAGCACTGATCACTGTATTAGCATCATTGGGATGTCAGTGGCAGTTAGTCAGTTCCCACCCAGTGTCAGAATGCCCGCCGCAGTCCCGCTATAAGTCGCTAATCACCACCATTATTAGTAAAAAAAATATAAGTTAAAATTCCAGTATATATACCGCCATTTGTAGATGCTATAACTGTCATGTAAACTAATTAATTCACATGTATTTGGATTTCTTTAGCAAAGACATGTAGCAGAATACAATTTGGCCTAAAATTTTAAATTTTTTTACTGGATATGTTTTATAGCAAAAAGTCAAAAATATATATATTTTTTTTTTTCAAAATTGTCTTTTTTTGTTTGTAGCGCAAAAAATTAAAACAGGTGATCAAAAACCACTGAAAGAAAGCTCTATTTGTGGAATAAAAAGACACACATTTCATTTGGGTGCAGCATTGCATGACTGTGCAATTGTCTGTTAAAGTAACGCAGAGCTGTATCGCAATAAATGGCCTGGTCAGGAAGGGGGGTAAATGCTCTGGAGGGCAAGTGGTTAAAGTAGAAATGATTTACTATGAATATGAAAAATTACAATGCAATTTTAGCAAATAAAGCAGTCATATACCCAAAGTGCAAATGAAGGCTTTGGTAAGAAATGCTTCCTAGTCTCCCTGTCACATGATATCCTGAGCAAGCACAATTTTTTTGTTTGCAGATTTCATTGCATGTGGAAGATTGAGCGGATTACTTTTTAATGGAATTTACCAGCAAACCTTGATCAGTGATCAGAATAAAATAAAGTGCTGTGATATGAGAAATGAGCTTATAAAATCTTCCCCTTTCTATCCCAGGACACACTCTACTCCCATAGTTTAAGAGAAAATAAGCAATTTACTCAGTGTGACTGACATTTCCAAATCAAATATATGACACTTTTATTGGAAGTGCTGTGAGAGACCTGATTATGAACTTATCTATGACACAGCATTACTTTGTGTTTGCCTGTCTCCTCTAATAAATATTGTAGAGCATAAACACATACAAAAATCCAATTTGTACTGCTCCGTCTAGTTGAGGTGAGTATGATATATTGTGATATAGATAGTTATACAATGCTATACATACCAAATGTCTAATCTATATACTTTTTTTCTTGTTTATTTTCAAGTGTTGTGCTAAAGGAAGCTAAAGAAAAATGAATGCCACTGGCTGATTTTGTGACAATACTATTGGCTTTGCTGTAATCCTTATCCTCTGGCTTTTATTTCACTGACCTAAAGCATGTACAGGTATCCCTCGCTTAACGACCTACCCATTTACTTATTTTTCGCACTTAAGACCATTTTTTTCTGCTCGGACTTACGACCTGCCCTCAGACTTATGGCCTGATTCAATTTCCTTTCCTCAGACTTAAGACCCGCTGTTCAGACTTGCAATCCTGCTGGGGGACTTAACAGAGAAACTGAGCGGAAGTGCGGCCTATGGTGGATCTTCTTGTGAAGAGGCAGTGTGGCCTATGGTGGCTTGTTTGTGGCCTAGGGTGTCTTTTCCAGTCTATGGTGGCTTCTTTAGTGGCTTTTTCTACTCCAAAAATTCCATAGATTTCTTGTTGAGTACTGTAATGTCTTCAGTATGTACTGTACTGTATGGACAGTACTGTACATTATGTGCATGGTGTTGCCTGCCATTCTTAGCCACCCTAGGCATTGCTGTTTCTCTGATGTTCAGCCCAGGTGGTACCATACTTGCAAATAAAAGGAAAATCATCAAGTTGGAGTTTCCTTTGTCAATTTATTTGTTCTAAATATTGTAATGTACAAACTAAATACAATTGCTCTTTTAACCAAACTCGCTAAACGAGCAGTCTCCTGGAACATAACTCGGTTTTTAAGCGAGGGATACCTGTATGCAGATCATGTTACTTTCACTGTTCTAGGTCAGTGCACTGTTCTAGGTCAATGTTCTAGGTCAATGACTCAGAAAGACAGCAGAGAAATAGTACTCCAGCCAAGCAACTAATATTTTCAGAGAAAGAGCAGTAGCTGCGGACTGCATATTACTCTAAGTGCTGATTTCCTTTATTCCAATATATATTTACTTAGGCCCTTATCAGAAATTATATAATATTCACAAAACAAGCCATATCTATCTATTGTATCTATCTATCTATCTATCTATCTATCTATCTATCTATCTATCTATCTATCTACAGCAGCAGGTGGATCAAGGATGCCATTTAGTTACACAAAGCAATAGGCTTTCATTGTGCACTTTTACCACCTGCCAGCTGCCGGCATCCTAACAACCAATGACATCATTAGTTGATAGGGAGGACGTTGGGCGCCTGCACAGCATCCTTGTTTGTCCCTCCCCTGCCCCTCTTTATCAGCAGTGGGGTCACATTAGCTGAGTGAGGGAGATAAACTAAGGGAGAAACACTGGAATACTAGTCAGTACCAGTTTGCAAATAAATATTTGTTTTGGAAGAATAAATCACCTTCAACATTGGGTGTCTTACGTGTGTGGATGTTGCTGCATTATGTAAAACTATTTGATTAACCTCCCTATCGGTCTGATTATGTCAGTATTTCTGTGCTCAAAAGCAGTACTTTTTTGCATTTTTTTTTATTGTAGGCCTGTATATCTTAGGAATATCTCACTGAAATCTGTCTGAACAAGAGTCTAGTAAACATCCCGGGTATGATAAAATTTCAAACACAAAATCATAAATTATAATATAATAATCATAAAAAATAATAATATAATAAGAAATTTAATTCAATAATGTAATCAAACCAAAAACACTGAAATTTGAAATAGAGTGCCAAGTTCACACATCACTGAGCTCAGTTGCAGAATCGTTTTCAGTGTCTGATGACAAATTTCCCCACGAATCATTATCACTCAATTCTGCAAGTGGTTCTAATTTACTATCGCTGTTCTCTAGCCGGTCTAAAACCGCTTTTGACTTAAAGTGACGCTTTTTTGGACGCCATGGATGTTTCTCAGTTTCCAGGCAGAAAGAACAGTAAAAATGCAGGCTGGGCACAGGACAAAGCAGTAGGGACAAAATGTATGTGAAATGATTTGATACAGTGATGTTTTACTATGTGATTTTACTGTATTTAGCGAATGTCACATTTTTGAATTTCCCGCCGGTTCCGTCCCCCGTACGTCCCAACGCTCGCAGGAACGGAACCCGAAAGATGGATGCTGGCATCAGCCGGAGGACATGGCTGCAGGGGGGACATCGTGGGAGTGCAGGACAAGGTAACTGCTGGAGGGATCCCTCAGCAACACTTCAGAGTAATCCCGAGTGTAGCTCAGGGTTACCGCTTCTGGTACTGAAAGTTAACCACGAGCTACACTCGGGAATACCGCCAGGGAGGTTAAACACAATGACCAGTGCAGCACTACAATATATAGTGAAATCACAAAATTATATATAAAAAAAAGTAAAAATCATCTTCATTAGAATAATTCCATCCTTCTGCAACCACCAAGTGCTCCAAAGGATATAAATGCAATTATTCCACTGGCAGATGTCTGCTTACCTCCAGCAGTGCGACCTCACATAATATTATGTTTGGTCAAACTGATCTTTTGGTCCCAAAGCGGACACTGAAGATCAACTTGATGCTTTCCAGCTATGGTTCACAACTTGTCCGGAATACAACTCCCACCATCACATCACCTCATAAACAAAAGACTCCACATAGTCCATAAACTTTAAAACATTTTAATATCTCAAAATTAAACAAATTGTGCACTCACATGTACAAGGTGCCCAATCATACCATGTACAATCAGCCTATGATTATATAAATTACTCCGCGATCTATGGAACTGTTCCATGAGGAGTCAGCAATGATGGGGCTTAAACAGTGGACCATCCAAAATTACTGTGTATCACACAGTAAACATCGCTGATGCCATTACCATCGCCAACTCCCGTAGAGCGTCGTGATGTCATTAATTACAAAATTAAATGCATTTAAAAATTAATAATTCATTATAAAAAAATTATATTTCAAGCAATAGTACTAACAGTTGTTAGCCCCGCAATAACCTAGGTATTTAATTAAAATTAAAATTTTTACATGTGAGTGCACAATTTGTTTAATTTTGAGATATTGAAGTGTTTTAAAGTTTATGCACTATGTGGAATCTTTTGTTTATGAGGTGATGTGATGGTGGGAGTTGTATTCCGGGCAAGTTGTGAACCATAGCTGGAATCCATCAAGTTCACCTTCAGCGTCCGCTTTGGGACCTAAAGCGCAGTTAGACCAAACAATATTATATGAGGTCACACTGCTGGAGGTGAGCAGATATCTGGTAGTGGAATAATTGCACTTATATATTTTGGAGCACTTGGTGGTTGCAGAAGAACGGAAGTATTCTAATGAAGATGATTTGAATTTTTTAATATATAATTTTGTGATTTCACTATATATTGTAGAGCTTTGCACTGGTCACTGTGTTTATTAGTTATACCTGATATGAGATAAGGGTTATGTGCAAGAGTGGCTATTTTATTTTTGGAAAAAACAATGAATTTATTATATATTTTTTATTCACACTAAGGTAATTTTAGGAGGAGGGTAATTGCTATCCATAGAAGCACTGTATCTGCAAGCACTGTGGAGCAATTAAGTCTCAATTTTCAGAGCAGAAACACTAAATTCAGGGGCAGACTGACCATTTGGAAACTCGGGCACTGCCCGAGGGTCCAGGGTCAGTAGGGGGCCCCATGAGATACCCCTGGTACCTTTTTCATAGGCTTTTTTGAGTTTGGGCAAGGACACAGGGGCCCCATGATCCCCTATTGCCTGGGGCCCCATGAGTTGTCAGTCCGCCCCTGACTACAGTTATTGAATTTGCTCACTGCTGCAGAGTTACTCCTGCTTCCCCTCCCTAAGCTCATTTTTGTTTTTATTCAAAAGTTAGAAAGATGAAAGGCTGCTGTACCACTAAGGGAGGGAACAGCCCATATAAAAAATCATTTGCTGTTTGTTAAGAATTTGCAACTACTTGAATTTCTCTAGATTGGCAATAGGTTCACATTTGGTTTGCCATCTAGAAAATATGGAAAAATGGATCTGCTTGAATCCTTCTTTTGCATAATCAATAGTTGCTGCAGACAGTAAAGATGGTCAGGGAGGGTACTGCACCCTCAAGCATTACAGCTCCTCTGACTGCCTCTGCCCTGCTCCAGCCCCAGATGGAGGATCCTGATCCCCAGAATATAACTGGGGGGGGCAATAGTTCATCCTGCCTCAGGCAAATCAACACCCCTCCACCCAGATTTCCCAGCAGGCTGTCACATCATCTTCTCTCACAATTTCAGCGCTAGATGATAAATTGCAAATATTCTTACGCAATATCACCGCATCCATTTCCACTGAAATTGGAAAAAACTGGCGTTGGATCTCAGAGGGGAAATAGCGCAGATTGGTGACCGCACGGATAAATTGGAAACTGAGTTTGATGATTTGGTGCAATACGTTCATGTTCTGGAAGAGGACAACGCGTATTTGAAACATTCCATGTCCCAAATGCAGCTCCAACAAGAGGATTTGGAAAACAGGGAACGGCGCCAAAATATACCGTATACGCGGTATGTCCGAATCTATTGATGATGCACAACAACTACACCGTCACCTATTATCCTTTTTCACCGCAACTGCTCCCTTGGTTCCAGAAGCTGATTGGCGTTGTCATGTTTATGGACAGGGCTCATCGCTCCTTGGGCCCAAAACCTGTTGAAGGCACCAGACCTCGCGACGTCATTGTTCGCTTCCATTTTTTTCAAAGCAAGGAAGCCTTATTATCAGCAGTTCGCCACAAGCCATCTCTGGAATTTAAAGGTGACAGACTCCAACTCTTCTGCGATCTGTCCCCGATTACCCTGGCCAAGCGGCGAGCTCTGAAGCCGATCACCTCACACCTCCAGCAAACACCGTGTCCTTTATCGGTGGGGGTTCCCCTTCAGGCTGATCGTAACTAGGGACAATACTCAAGTTGTGCTCCGTGATCTTCCTGAGGCGGATTCTTTTTTTTAAGCGCCTGGGACTTCCACCTTTGTCAGATGACATGACCCCTCTGCCACCCACTCCAGCCCGTCCATCTGCCACCCCCAACAAGATTCTGGACTCCAGTCCACAGAGGGCCGGAAGAGGCTCTCACGTACCCCACAACGTCCACGACATCCTCGGACAAACTGATCCGCCTGTCTGATGACTCCCTGGGGTGCTTCTCCGAAGTGACTACGATGCCGATCCTTTCCTCCTGGTTTATACAATGTTTTTTTCCACAGGTTTTTTCATTTCTGGCCGGCCGAACCATTGTTGGGGTGTTTTGTTTTTTTTTTTTTTGTTTTTTGTTTTTTTTCACTTTTGTTTTTTCTGGCCGGGTTTTGGCGATCTCCCTGATGTCTTGGTTGTCGTGTTGCTCCCGATTTTGTCTAGCCATAGGCCTAGACGACTTGGGCCAAATTGTTGCTCCCAAGTTTATATCCTTGCGGATACTTATGTCAACTACTGTGTTTGTTCTTTCTTGTGTTAGTTTAATGTTTTTTGTTCTCCATTTTTCTACATCGATGGTATAATTATGCATTTCTCTCATGCTAATACATGTGCTCAATTTATTATTATTTTATAATGGCTTTGAGGTTTTTGTCATATATATGTCAAGGGTCTCAATTCCATTCAAAAACGTTGGATGGCTTTGCGGGAATTTCGATCCTCAGGAGCAGACATTATTTTTGTCCAGGAGACCCATTTCAAATCAACTGGCTCCTTCCGTTTTGCCTCGAGATTTTTTTCTCAAGCCTATTCGGCCTTTGATCCTTCCGGAAAGGCTGGGGTGGCAATTTTGATTAGGTCTCACTGCTCCCTTCGGGTTGTTTCCTCCAGGGTTGACCAACAGGGTCGCTTTAATTATTTGGAATGTATGCTTGGTGACACTCCCCTTGTTTTGTTGAATCTATACGCCCCAAATTCGGGTCAATTGCAATTTCTTTCACAAACAACACTCGCCAACTTAGATTCCTTTCCCATTTCGCATGTGATTGTTGGGGGCGATTTCAACTTGGTTTTTATCCCCCCATAAAGACAGGAAACTTCTTTTCGAGTCCACACCCTCGAAGCGGCAATTGCTCCATCTTCAAAATCTTTCCGTAGACTGATAAGGGAGCATCGTCTCTTTGATGCCTGGCGGATTAAACACCACCCTCCATAAAACAATTTACTTTCTACTCCACCCCTCACCGTAGTTTTTTTCCCGCCTAGATCATTTTTTTATCTCTGCCCCACTTCTTCCACTCCTGGTCGCCTCTGAAATCAATCCCATTACCTTGTCTGACCATGCCTCTCTGACTTTAAACCTTTTTTTCCTCCTATTATACCCAAACCATGTCATTGGCGCCTTAATGAGACCTTTCTTTCTACAGAACATTCTTAGGGATGAACTGTCACGGGGACTTGATACCTATTTCGCCCACAATGTTGGCTCCGTGGCTTCTTCCTCAACCCTATGGGGGAGGCTCATAAGGCGGTATTCGAGGACTCTGTATTTCTTATGGGTTCTCGTTTAAAAAAATCTTCAGCGAGTGCTAGGGCTTCTCTCATCCATCAACTATCTTTGGCAGAATGACAGTTGTTGGCCAAGCCGTCCATTTCTGGGCTCCGGAAGGTAACTTCTCTACGTGACCGCATTAAAACTCTTGACTCTAGTAAGTCTGCGCAATCCCTCTTATGGGTTAAGCAAAAATTTTACGAATTTTCCAACACAAACCTCATCGTATGTTAGTCAATCGACTCAAAGCTCAGTTTCCTCCTTCCACGATGCCTGATCTTTTAATCCAACCAAATGGACGCCCTACCTATGATCCTCAGGTCATGGCATCCCTTTTTGGCTCATACTATAAGAATCTTTTATAACTGTTTTGACCCCAGACCTTCACCCGCCCCTCACACAGTTATCTTTTGATAATTTTTTTGACCCCCTGTCACTTCCGAGTCTTTCACCCTCAGACATTGCCACCCTCAACGCTGATATTACGCCAGAGAATTGTTTGACACAATTAAACACCTTCCCTCGTAAAAGCCCCAGACCAGAACGGATTGCCCTACTCCTACTATAAATCTTTTGTTGGTATCCTGGCTCCTCATCTCCTCTCCTTTTATCGAGATCTTTTCAAGGGGGTCACACCCCAGACTGAATTCTCCCGAGCATATATCTCGGTTATCCC